CTTCAATTGTAGAAATGCTACCCTTGCTTTGCCAATCCTCGCCTTTACATCTGCATCCGATCCTCCTTGTTTATCAACGATGCTCCCCAGGTACTTGAATGTTTCCACCTCTTCCAGAGTTTCGCCGACAGGTGTGATTGGGTTGGTGTTCTCCGTATTGCATTTGAGAATCTTGCTTTTTCCTTTGTGAATGTGGAGGCCTATCGATGCGGAAGCTGCGGCTACATTTGCTGTCTTCATCTGCATTTGGTCGTGTGTATGAGAGAGGAGGGCTAGGTCATCCGCGAAGTCCAAATCATCTAATTGATTCTGAGCTATCCATTGTATTCCGTATTTCCCTTCAGATGTCGAATTCTTCATAATCCAGTCAATCACTAGAAGGAAGAGAAATGGGGAGAGTAGACAGCCTTGTCTGACTCCGGTCTTTACTGGAAATGCATCTGTCAGCTGACCTCCATGCACCACTTTGCACTGCAATCCATCGTATGAGTTTTGGATAATGTTGACAATCTTCTGAGGAACTCCATAGTGTCGAAGAAGTTTCCATAATGTTCTCCTGTCCACGCTGTCAAACGCCTTCTCATAGTCAATAAAATTGACGTATAGTGATGAGTTCCACTCAACTGATTGTTCGACGATGATCCGTAGTGTCGCAATCTGGTCTGTGCACGACCGATCCTTACGGAATCCAGCCTGATGATCCCTTAGTTCGGCGTCTACTGCGTCTTTCATCTGATTCAGCAGCACTCTGTTGAAAACTTTTCCTGGTACTGATAACAAACTGATACTCCGCCTGTAGCTCTTCTAGAGTTACTGCCGGTCCCAAGCCCGGGTAAAGGAGAAGGGTTGGGCATGCGGTTAGCGACCCCATCCCGTAGAAAAGCTAACTCGCTAAAAAAACGCTAACCAGAAAAAATAATTCAAACCATTTAAACTCTGCCCTGGGAGTTGAAGGAATAATTATGACGTCTCATGATGAAAGCCGAAGTTCTTCGGAAGTCACCAGACCGATGCACCTTCTAACAACCAAAGCAACACTCTTTATAGGTACATGGAACGTCCGGACAATGTGGGAGACAGGAAAGACCAGCCAAATAGCAATGGAAATGAGGAGATACAACTTGGCAGTACTCGGAATCAGCGAAACCCATTGGACACAAACTGGACAACAAAGGCTAGGTACAGGAGAGATGCTGCTGTACTCCGGTCACGAAGGGGAACATGCTCCACACACTCAGGGAGTTGCTCTAATGCTGTCCAAAGAAGCAAGAAATGCACTTGTGGGATGGGAATCTCATGGACCCAGGATAATCAAAGCATCATTCAGAACAAAGAAGCAAGGGATCACAATGAACGTTATCCAATGTTATGCACCCACCAATGATAGCAACGACGATGATAAAGATCAGTTTTGCGACAGGCTTCAATCAATTATGGAGAAGTGCTCAAGAAAGGACCTCACCATCCTGGTGGGAGATCTAAATGCTAAAGTTGGAGTGGACAACACAGGATATGAAGATATAATTGGACGACATGGACTAGGAGAAAGAAATGAAAATGGGGAGAGACTTGCAAACCTATGAGCTTTCAACAAATTGGCTATAGGCGGCACAAAATCAGAGTAAAACTAGAGGTTAATAGTTAACTGAAATCAACTGGTTATTTGAATAGGAAAGGGGTTTTGTGGATATTATAGTAAGTTCATGGTCGAATTCATTAGTCAATTGAAGCTAGACTACCATGGAAATATCGGAAGCAATGGATGGTGGCTCATTTTCATGAATTGATTGAAGTTAAACATTAACTATGTTAGATGGTGAAACAGTGGTCTACAGGTCAAGAGTTCACGCGCGAGACCGGTAGGTCCTAGGTTTGAATCACAGGAGCAAGATCTCAGGTGCTCACTGCTGAGATGCTCCATACTAAGGCGAAACATCCATTCAGTGTTTCCAGATTTTCCATGATGGCCTGGCTTCAATCGACTCATGAATTCAACTATTAAATGGTTATTTATCAAATTTCTAAGAAAAGAATTATAGATTACTTTCATGTAACAACATATCAATCTGTAATTTGTTGACAAACAGCTTGTAAACTAATCACTGAATAATTTGTTCCATGTTCAACTTTTTATTGTATCTTTAAAACGGTTCAGACATATTTCTTTATTTGCGTTACTTGGAATTTGATAATTAAACAATGTCTGGCCATTTATGGAAATGAAATTTTTAAGCAAACACGGATAGTCGCTAGCAGTGGAATGCAGGATGCGCGTTTCGTCCTATTTGGGACTCCACAGCTGGATGTACCTGCATCTCAGAGTTGATGCTCACTGTGGGACTTAAATCCAATACCTTCGACTTCAAACGCCATCGCGTTATTCACTCAACTACTAAATTTTGATAGCCACTTGCTTGTGCAATGAGGTGAATTTTAAATTCACTTAGTATTGTTCGTTTGAATCTTCCCATTGATGTTTAGGACTGCAACTGATACTGACCAGTTGTAATCTTAATCATCAATGGGAAGATTCAAACAAGTTATACTGAGTGAATGAAATTTTCAGTTTTTTTGTATGAAAGCCCAAAAACAAAAGCAACGAAATGTAAACATTCCGTTTTATCTTTTTTTTTAAGAAAACAACTATGTACATCGACTCATCAATTTGTGGTTTTGATTGGTAATATGTGTTGTGTTCTAAGAAGGAACTGAAATCAGTCTAATAGAGCATTGTGAGATGGCTGATTTCTTTTTCACGTTTTGAAGTGTACAAACACAAAGCAATCCAAGGTGTACGATACAGGCATCTCCAAATGGACAATCCCAAATAGAACGAAACTAGTGTCTTGGATTCCACTGCTAGTCATCATACATTTCTATTTATAGAGCATGTATTTTAAGACAATATCGAGGCAATACGCATAGTATACAAATATACCAATAGAAGACTAATAAGTTGAAGTTCTTAATATCAATGGGAAGATTCAAACAACCCATACATGATCCATTATCTATACAAGTTAGTATGAATTACATTAAGGAATAATCCAGAATGTAAACATCTGCATTCAACTTGATTTAGTTCTGTTTGGACATATTGAATACTATTTTATCAGATGTAAACATCTATCTCCATGAATGATCATAACTAATTTACAAATGTAATTGTTGGGATGACCCTGTAATTTTCTCGCAAGTGACATGACAAGCTCGTGAATCATCAAGGAGCATTTCAACCAATCAGCGATTAATTAGAAGTTATGTTACTAAAATAACGAGATCCTGATTAACACACTGCTACTATGTTTAGCAGTATTCTAGAACTCTCGGTAAAACTCAAGGTCTCTTAAATTACTTTAAAATCCCTGTATTTTCTGTACATAAATGAAACTTGCAGTAAAGTGCTTCCCTCACACTTTGTGCCTTTTCTCTGGTCTTCAAGTTGGTGTATAGTTCTAGCTCGGGGATACTGAACTAGCTTAGGGAAGCGAATATAGCGTTCAATCGACCAGACGTAACAGTAATCTTGAAGATCAAACTATTGTAGGTTTTTTTAGAAGACTTCATTTCATCATCATCATCAACAATAGGTTAGAAAATCATTTCATATAGTTATGAAAATATCTTCTACTGAACATTGGTATATGTGTATAATAACACTAATACTGATAATAAGGCGACATGCTTGAACATCTGAGCTGCCTGTTCCTGCCATCAAGATATTTCAACAACTTATTTAATTCTCAGAAAGAGATTTTGTGGAGATTTTTAGCAAGTTTATAGTTGAAATCATGAGTCATTTGAAGGTAAATCACCATGAAAAACCTGGGATCATTAGACAACCGTTTTGTCCTAGCATACGGTTTCCTCAGCAGTGCGCATTCGCGATCCAGCCTCTCGAGATTCGAAACGGCCAATCACTGATTGCAAGTTCCCCATGGTGATCTAGCTTCAATTGACTCATGAATTCAACTATAAAATTACTAAAGATCTCCACGAAACTCCTACTTATAATAATCATATGCTCATTAGTGACTGACCTCAAGAGATATTTCCTAGAGTTCTAGTGAGAAGCAGTAACCAGTGGAGTTCAACCAGGTCTGTTGTGAGATAGCAACTCACTGAAGACAACCGTGAACGGTTGCTCAATTTCGCAGATTGATTGAAATTAGACATTAACACTGTTGGACGCCGGCCGGATCAGTGGTTCTAAAGGTTAAGCGCACACGCACGAGAGTGATAGGTCCTAGGTTGGAATCTCGCGAGGTGGGATGGTGAATGTGCACTTCTGAGGAGTCTCACAATATGGTCAAACTGTCGTCCAGTGTTTCCAAGTTTTCTATGGTGGTCTAGCTTCAATTGACTCATGATTTCAATTATAAAATTATCTAATTTTGTTTGTTTTATACATCATTACGGCTTATAATCGCATAACCTATTGAGGTGCGTTTCTGAAACGTTTACAATCTTTCGTTGTACAAGTTACAAAAGGTTCAATCATTGATATCGTTGTTGCTGGCAGGTGATATACAGTGAAAAGAATGTACATTTTTCACATGTTGATTTACTGGACTTCTAACTTCTTACTGGCAATCACTCAATATTTATCTTCAGGGTCGACCAAGAAGTAAGAAATGGAAACTTGTTGAAGTACTTTATGTTGATAATTCTATATTGTACTAAAAATATAATATTGAATAAAGCTAACAATAATGATAATAATATAACTAATGTTTAAGTATTTTTATTCTTGTTAAGTGTATAGAAAGATTCAATTACTGATACAGTCTGTTACTAAGTCAAAATTTTACTTTAAACTGTAGTCTAGACTACTGATAAGTATAACAGTTGACATGAATGTTTCCGGTCACATTGTAAGTAGTTATTTAAGAGTAAGTATTGTAAATTAGTAGACAAAAGTAGTGGGTGAACTTGAAATACATAACAGTATATATATAGATACATATATAATGATAAGAAACTATTTTTGTTTTACCTACCACAGAGTTAAGTTCATCATCTGTATCTTCTACATTGATGTCTGTCTCCATAAATACAAGACTTGCTTTCAAATTGTTAATTTCAACTCTTACCGGATTTAACTGTTCATCCCCATGAACTGTATTAAAAAAAAGGGAAAAAAGAACACAATCAAGTAAAGTTATTGAATTTATAAAGGATTGGTGTAAAGGATTTAATTTCATAGTGAATATCATGAACTAGTCAATCTATGAAAATGAGAAAGTGTTGAACAGCTATTTCGTCTTAATATGAGACTCTTCAATGGTGATTACTTACGTTCTTATCGACTAAGAAGGACTTGACACGCGTGACATTGATCAGCGCCAAGTGATCAATCAATTGTGATTACATCTCCGTCCTACAGGAGGTCGGTCGCGGCCCTGATTGTGAAGCTGAGTGACAAGGGATCGAATCCGTCAGGGAGCATCAGTCCCTTCGGGATTACAGGTGCACCTTGCTGACGAGTGCCAATTAGGACGAAACCCCGGTCCAGGGTTTCCTGTTGACCACCTACAACCACCGTCTTATCGACTATCGAATTCAGAATCTTCAGATCCTGAGGTAAGTGCTTAATCTTTGAACCACTGTCCTATTGCACAATAGCTTGGTTTTTTAACTTCAATTAATTCATGATATTTTACAATCATCTTACAGTGGCATTAGTAAGTAACTACCGTACACTCGACATTGTTACATTATACTAGAATTCTGCGAATCATCTCGTGAAATCGGTAGCCAGTGATAATGTGACTATTATTTTCACTTTTTTGGGGAGTTTTGGACACTGTTGATCTTTAAAGTCAACATTACAGTTTGATGGTATTGAAACATTATTGTAACACTGATATCAATGTTTATACATTGTTTAGTAGTCCCATACCAAGATAATACAACTCTACAGCTCCCCCAAGTTTTTAATGATCATTGAACTAAGATTAAATTGGGATATTAACTATAAAACAATTTTCATAGCTGAAAGCGTGAGTGAATTGAAGCTAGACCACCATCGAATACCTGCAAGCACTGGACGGCCGTTTCGTCCCATTGTGGGACACATCAGAAGTGCGCATTCACGATCCCGCCGAACGAGATTTGAACCCAGGACCTACCAGTCTCGCACCAGAACACTTAACCGATAGACCACTGAGCCGGCCAGAATTAAACGGTGTTAATGTCTAACTTCAACCAATCCACGAAGTTTGAGCAATCGTTCACCGATTGTCTTCACTGAGTCGTTATCTCACAACAGATGTGTTTGAACTCCAATGGTCACTGATTAGTGATGATTAGTAATTAAAGAACAAAACGATGGTCAGTATTAATGACCATAAAAAAACACTTCTAAATGAAAGATACTTTTGGTTGAAAAACAACATACACAGGATGATCGATATTTGTAAATTAAAACTCTTTACAGATTTTAAAACCTTGATATTAATCAGTCAGCTATGAATAACATAGATTGTTGAATAGTTGTTCAATAGTCAAAGAAGCTTCTTTCTAATTACAAAAGTATAGTGAAACTGAATATTATTAAAGTGCGAAATCAAATAGAATCGAAACAATTAGCAATGGTAGTTTCGAATAAAAAAATTAAACACTTCAAAGTAATCAATATTATCCTGGCAAAGAAATAACTATAAAAGAAATAAGCAATGAATTCGGGATATTGTAGTGTATGCTACTTATGTCAATAAACATAAGTAGTATGTAACACCAATCACAAGAGGAATGCATGGCAGCATAAGGCTATGACAGTTAAATTGAAGAAAACAGGAAGAGAAATAGAAAGAAATTGTAAATTGAAAGAGTTATACAGCATGTAAAGGAAAACTTATGGAAGAAGTGAAGATGAAGTATTTAATGTGTGATTCTGATATTTTCAGAAGATCTGAGTGTTCATTCACTACACTATCATCATCATCATCATCATCATCATCATCATCATCATCATCATCATCATCATCATCATCATCATCATCATCATCATCATCATCATCATCATCATCATCATCATCATCATCATCATCATCATCATCATCATCATCATCATCATCATCATCATCATCATCATCATCATCATCATCATCATCATCATCATCATCATCATCATCATCATCATCATCATCATCATCATCATCATCATCATCATCATCATCATCATCATCATCATCATCATCATCATCATCATCATCATCATCATCATCATCATCATCATCATCATCATCATCATCATCCGTTTTGAATAATATTATCTAAAAACTAAAAATATAAATTGAGATTATCTAACAGATCCTGTTTAACATACCTACATTTCCAACATGACTAAGTTCAATAACGAATCTATTTAGAGACATGAGGTATGTATTTGTTTAATAACTGTCTCCCTCTCAGTAGTCCTCTTAACAATTTCTACATGAAATACTACTGAATATAAATTGTATGTACTAATTATGCATGAATATGTTTCAATTAGTTCATTTCATGAAGTATCATTAGTATATAAACCAATTTTCTAAATTCTACCCAGTATCTTATACCTTCTATAATAGTTATTCTATCAAAGAATGGATACTTAGAAATTATACATGCTTTCAACTTTCATAGTTAAATTTATCAAAGGCTTAATTAACTAATATATAGATAATAGATCAAAAGGGGTTTTGTGGAGAAGATTCCAGTATTTTCATAGTTGAAATCATGAGTCAATTAAAGCTAGACCACCATGGAAAACCTAGAAGCACTAGATGGCCATTTCATTCTATTATGAGATTGATCAGCAGTGCTCATCCACGATCCTACACTCGCGGAATATGGATAATATATCAACGTTTCTAATATTTAGTTAACTTTCACACATTTGTTACTTCTATAATACTTATAGTTGTCTAGAGAAATTCATTTACACGGACGACGTTTTTGTTTTCCCTCTGTGTGTGTGTGTGTTAAATTTAGGTTGGTTAATTATTTCTACATTTATTTTTTTATTTTTATTTTTCACGTTAATTATCTTCTGCCTAATATAATGAATTCCCGTTTCTTATCTAAACCAATATAAGATAGATACATGCACTCAATCACACACACACACACACACATCTACATCAACAAAATGGGGATAAATTTTTTTTCCCACCCTGTTTTTTTATTATTTATCAACAAACAAACCACATATGGAAAAGAAATGTGATAATTTTTATTTTTTTTAAAAAAGTGTTATTTTTTTAAAAATTATGTTGCAGTTAATGATGATCTCAAAATGAGATCAACTTGTTTTTAATGAAACCGACAGCAACCAGAAAAAAAAGAAAAAAAAAGAAATTTCGAAAAAATGTTTTTTTTTTGGTATTCTATTTAGAACTAATTATATTCTACATTTTTTGTTGTTTACTCAAGAAAGATAACATAGAAATGAGATTCTATGGATAAGAAATTCACCTTAATTATGGACAATTCAGTTGTGTATCTGTTCATATGTGTGGGTGTGTGTGTGGGTGGTGGTGGTGGGGTTGAATGTGTTTGTCTAGAAGAAAAGGAAACAGATTATTTATTTATTTGTTGTAGATTTTGTGGTCAATTTTGTTTGCCAAATTTTTCACTTCCTTTTTTCATTGTCTACTGATTATCTTCTACTTCGTTTTTTATGATGATGATGATGATGATGATGATGAAGAAGAGACATAAACTTCTAATAATAAACATCAAATATCATGTGTAAATGAAACAAAAAAGGGAAATAAATTTAGTCACCCAGGAAAGTCTTTATTTCCTTATTAAATGTTCCCCTATAAATTTTCATCTGTTATGTAACATCTATCTTTTTTTCCTTCATAAAAAAATCATCCCAAAAATTGCATGATGTCTTTAATATTAACCATTTCTAGCCATATTCACTTTCAAAATATAAAAAAAAACTATACAAGTAACTTCAATAGGGAAACCTCAAAATATCTTAATTAGTTTCTTGGACTATTTTCATGTCTAACGTCTCCACCCTTCCCCCTTCCCTCGCCCAAAAATTCAACTATACAAGAGTAGACTTCGTAAAATTACCGTCCATGGAATAAAATTTAAATGATGTAGTAGTAGCAGTAGTTGTAGAATATTGGACATTTACGATAGTTTTATTACACTATGAAAAAAATAAATTAAATTAATCAAGAATAATCACGAAAATTAATTTTTTAAAAATTTTTTTAAATGATAATTTTCTTAGTTACTAATTTAAATTGCGTGGATGGTTTGATGGTAACAGATTGAATGTTACTCAGAGATTAATTTCATTAGAATATTTCTATTTGAAGTATACATTGATGATGTGAACTAGAATGGTATTTTGAAGGTGTTTTAAGGAAATTACACAACTCAAAGAATCGGACACCTCAGAGTGAACATCAACACTGAGATGCAGGTATATCCAGTTGACCAGTCCAAAGTAGAATGAAATGCGCAACCTGGATTCCACAACTAGCCATTATCCATCTTTGCTTATAATGCTTGTGAATTCAGACAATATTGAGGCAATCCGCACAGGATGCACATATACCAAAATAGAGATTTATTAATTTCAACACATAAAGATCTACCTTTTGTCAAATATAATAACATAACCCAAATCTTACTTTGTTACTAACAATATCAGATGTTTACAAAATATGATCAAAACAATTGTTGCTTTTATCTTTGAAACATATCATTACCTGTATCTTATGAAATACCGGTACTGTTATAATCAGACAGATCAATTTACGTCTAGATGGATAGTGGCTAGCAGTGGAATCCAGGATGTGCGTCTCGTCCGATTTGGGACTCGTCAGCTAGATATACCTGCATCTCAGAGTTGATGTTCACTCTGGGACTCGAACACATTAACTTTAGCTTCAAACGTCATCGCGTTATCTACTTAGCTAATGAGTCCTGATAGCCACTTGCTTGTGTAATGGAGTAAAGTTTAAATTCACTTAGTATAGTTTGCTTGAATCTACCCGTTGATGTTTAGGACTGTAACTGATCAGTCTCTTATTAGCATATGTGCATACTGTGCGTATCGCCTCCATTTAGCTTTAATTCACAATCACTGTAAGCAAAGATGGATAG